AACGTTCTGAAACAAGTAGGCCTAGTTACATTTTTTTTTAAAAAGAAAAGAAAGAAAAACGTTAGACGAGGGTTTAAATTAGAACATTTCAGAAACAAACATTCCATGAATGATGTTTTGAGAACATTATTAAACTCCAGATAACATTAAACGAACGTTCCATTAACATTCCTGGAAGAACGTTTGTTTATAACTTTGAGAGAACATTGACAGAACATCAGATAAAGTTCTGAGAACGTTTCCTGTTCCCTGTTTTAAATCTTTTTTTTTGTTGATTACTTATTGGGAATATTAAACAAAACGGATGTTTTTACCCGCAGATGGGAAATTATTTGCAGTATCATAAGGAAATAAAAGAAAAAGTTTACCATGGTACTTTCTGGTAAAATACCATTATTACACCTCAGTCACTAAACCTGGGATTTGTCGACTGGAAATATTTCCCAGTGATTTAAGGTAATATCTGTGATTTAACAACACATCATATCTTCACGGTTTCTGGTCATGGTTAATGGCCACATGGCGTGATAATAAACGAATTATCAACATATGTAAGTATGTATATATATATATATATATATATATATATATATATATGTGTGTGTGTATGTGTGTGTCACACACACACACATACATATATATATAGGCTATATATAGATTATATTAGAATAATATATATAGGCTATATGTATTTTTCTGAATATCTTGGTGTTTGTCAAAGTAATTGTGATATCGTTCCTCTGTTGTTTTATATATATTTGGTTTGTTTACAACTAAACAAGGCATATATTAAAACACTGAAATAAATTTTTTTTTTTACAAAAAATAAAATAGATATATAAAAGCTAAAAAAAGAAAAGGCCTCTCTGATTAGTTTGTACTTTTCCAACAGTGAAATCCAAGGTTTGGTGTGTTTACCGAGAGCTCATTCTCACACACTTCGGCTTCGGTTCAAATCGTGTAAAAATCTTGAAAGAGATTAATTACAAAATCTACATCGTTATTTACCAAAAACACCTTCACATTTCACAACATACACAATTATTCACATCAAAATCTCAATCTTAAAAATGTTTTCATGATAAATCTGGTTTAAACAGTTGAAGTCATTATTGTTCAGGTGTGGATTCTGCTATTTTATTATAGTTTGAATGATTATTAAAACTTTTCAGTTATCGTCTTTAATTTAATTCAGCTCAAAACTCTCAACACTTACAATAAGGTAATATTAAGTTAATATTAATCTCAACATATACTAATACATTTATAAGATGAACATTTGTATGTTCATTTTTCATTAACACAATAAAGGTTCATAATAATAAATGCTACACTGCAAAACATGCTGTTCTTACTCAGTATTATCGTCTTGTTTCCAGTCCAAATATCTAATAATTCTTAAATAAAGATGCATTTAGATGAGTAAAATGGCATCAGATATTATGTTCTGTTTTCAGGGGAAATAAATCAAAATTTAGTGAGTTGATGCTTAAAACAAGCAAAATTATCTGTCAATGGAGTGAGAAAAATAATGATGTTTCTGTTTGAATTAAGATGATTTTTCTCAGTCCATTGACAGATAATTTTGCTTGTTTTAAGCATCAACTCACTTAATTTTTATTTATTTCCCCAGAAAACAGGACATAATATCTATGCCATTTTACTCATCTAGTAAATGCATCTTGATTTAACATTTTTTAGATATTTGGACTGGAAAAGTCAAAAATATTTAGTAAGAACAGCATGTTTTGCAGTGTGTAAGGTGTTAGTTAATGCATAAACCCTTTTTTGTTTTTGTAACACTTTTAAAATCTCAGATTTATCATTCTACAATTTGCATACCGCACTGTGATTTGCTCTGTTTTCGTGAATATTTTTGCATTTATATTGACTTTTGCAAAGTCTGAAACCTGAACTTCAGCACAGCACTATAGAACAGAGCGATGTCCTCCAGCAAACACACATCTCGAGTTCAGAACATGTAATCCCTCCACAACTGGAAGAGAAAGTGTCTAATGTTAAAATGCTGATCAGCAAATCTCAAATCTGTGCAGTTTTTGCCCAGAGCGCTTTCCCTCTCTCTCTCTCTGTCTCTCTCTCTCTCTCTCTCTCTCTCTCTCTCTCTCTCTCTCTCTGTGTCTCTCTCTCTCTCTCTCTCTCTCTCTCTCTCTCTCCAGGACAAAGGAACGCTCTCCTCCAATCAGACGGGCCGCTCTGCTGTTCTCATTAAGAGTGGGAGGAGTCTTGCAGTTTTGGAGTGATGGTGATTCTGCTGTAATATTCACTGATGATCTGATCAGAACTTCAGCGGACTGACCCGGACCCGATCCCGATCCCGCAGGAGTCTGAAGACATGGGGACGTGGACACACACACTCCACCAGGAGGTATCGCATACGTACACATACACACTAATATATCTTTTGAGAAATATGTTCTCCAGATATTTTGAAAGAGATGATGGTTTATTAAATGAGCTTTAGGATGATTTTGGATAGAAG